GTACTGCACTCTGTTTTGAGGAACCTGAAGCAGTAAGAGCATTGAAGAAAATTATTAACAAACTGGGACACAGACTGCGCTATATGATTGTTTACACAAGTGGATCGCGAGACTGACGATAAATATAAAATACATGGTTTTAACTTTTAAATTGAATGCTCGTTGCACCAGTCCTGCCTAGGCATGCATGTCCTAATTCTTGTTTTTTCTACCCTGGAAACTTCAAAGCTCATTTAAAAACATAACTTTTATGCTTTAATGAATGCTGTGAAAATTTAGTGAAATTGGAACCATGAAATGAATTTCTCAGTAATCTAGTTCCTTGTTGCCGAATATATATATTTTTAAACTTTTATTACTATATTAGCCATAACCCATTATTCTTAATTATTCAGGAGGTATTAAATGAACAACGTAATGTCCTTTCTTTCAAAATATAATGGGATATTTGTCTGAGAAATGCGAGTTATAGGGAAGGGATGATGTCGAAAGTCGAAAGCGATGTAAAAGGCTTTTTATTCTAAAAGTATCGCGAATTGTATGGAGAATACAGACAGACGAATCGGTACATTTTGCACTACCTTTAAACACTGTGTATAAAGATAAATCGTCTCTTCTCGACACGTAAGAAAATATAACCAGACAAAATTTTCTATTGAACGGAAATGGCCGGAGAATCTTCGCCGAAGCCATGAAATCCATTATCATATACTGGGCCGTTAATACACGCGGTCATGCATCATGAACTCTTAAAAGGACTTATGACATTTACTCTGATGACCTATGTCCCTTTTGGTGGAAGTAAATAATGTTGGCTATTTGCAAGCGGCTTAGCTCGAAATTATAAAGGGACACTGCGGAGGTTTGAAAACGATAGCCTTTAGATTTCAAATTCACCAAGCTATCTAATGAGACGGATTCCACAACACTTCTCACCTTTAGTCAAACTTCAATGCGTGATAACATTTAGTTAAGATAAAGACATAACACAGAAATATTGGAAAAGATCACTTGATAAGCCTATCATTTTAATGAAGAAATAAAAATATATCGATATCGAATAATGGGTAACTATCATTGTCAGTACCTTATAAGACTAGAAATAATGACTTGTAGCAATGTTCTGATGTTACTTCATGACTCAGATATCACTGCTGGCATTTTACATCTTTCTTCAAGTTGTTTCACTTTTTCATCTCCACAGCTCCTCCGTGCACAGCTGGACTTGACGTTGCAATCGTTCTCGACAAATCCCAGAGTGTTAAATTAGGTAATCTGGCAAAGGTTATCACCTTCTTGGGTAAACTGGTTGGAAGCTTCCACCCTGCTCCTGACGCAGATCACTTCGGCCTTATTACCTTTAACAAAAACGCACAACTGTCTTTCACACTTGGCAACTCACAATATCACGATAAAGACGCCCTATTAAAGAAAATAGCCGAAGAACCAATGGTCCTACAGTATCAAACTCGCACCGATATGGCTCTCCTTATGGCG